CTTTTTTCGTTACTGGCTTGCACTTCATCCCTTTTTTCGTTACTGGCTTGCACTTCATGTCTCCGTTGTTACCTTAAAGCGTTGTGGGACACTAGTTCGATCCCGGACTTTGCCTTTGAAAACGCTATCCCTGTGCGACTCGCAACTGCATGGCGCTCAAAAGAAGAAAATATTGCTGCCGGAAAGCAGTAGTGGTGCGTACTCTTGACGCGCTTTCCAATCACGCGAGGTTTCCTGGGTTGTGCTCTTACTTCTTTGCCACCATTTGGTGAGATTTTTTTGGTTTCGGTGCGGTATGATTTCTGGAATGTGCTCATTTCAAGGGCTCCCCTTAGTGCACTGTTTTGCCACTGTTTTCTTTACATATGACTCTACAAACAGTAGTTCCAGGCATACTGGAACAGGACCGTGGTCGTCGGTGTACGCGTTCCGTACAGCACTCAGTCCACCGCCGGCCGTCAAAGGACCACCCACAGCCACCCCAAGCGGTTAGTGAACTTACTGCGTGGTCCCTTTGACGCTACTGAAATTGTTGTATTCTTCTTAAGGTGATGGTTACTATCAACTCGAATGGTCGTCAGTCATCACTAAACCGAACACAAAGAAATGCTTCTATCGCCTGCAAGCTGTTGATTGTTCCATCGATAATGCTAAATGGATGACGGTATGTGGCTCAGCATTGGCCTCAGTGCCCGGCTAGAATATACGAGTTCCTCTTTCATTCTCTCTCTATGACTTTGATTTTTTTTTGCATTTAAGGTTTATGAAGGCACACTTCCTTCCCACACTCTACGCCTTTCCGACTATCCATCAGCAGTGCAGGCACGTGTGATGTGCGTAAGACCAGAAGGTGACAGTGAAATCTCCTCACCACCGAGTCCAATCGTATACATGGCGAATCTTCCCTTGGACAACGATGTTCAGGTATATTATAGTTCCTATGTAGTTATGTGGTACCGTCTAGAAAGCCTGCCGACTGTGATATATGAGTTGAGTGCTATTTTTAGCCAATCCAAGAAAAGAAAGTCGATGCGATTCCGGTTGTGCGCTGGTGGACAATGCAATGCAGCTTGACCACTATTATGGTGGTAAGTTTTTTTGGAGTCAAAATTTGTTTCTGTGTGGTATTTCCCACTTTTGCTGGGTTCCGCAGTTTCACTGAATTGTTCTGGTACCTGGAACCTAATCGGGTCTCATCCACTCGAGTGAAAGGGGGAGGGGTGGGCATGTGCTGCGACAGTTGCTGCCGCTTACAGAAATTCCAATTTTTGCAAGGGAGAGGAAATCCCCGGGGTGCGTGAACCATTTCGCTTTAACTTTTACACCCACCCGGAGCTTCCTTCCCCTGCAAAAAATTGGATTTCAGGCGATATGAACTATCACACCACATGCCCCCCTCTTACTGGATGGCACCCTTTTTCTATTCTCCTCAACGTGCATGACAACCATAGAGTTTCCTTTCTTTTTTCTATCCACTGTTTGCCTCCTTCCATCTTTTTCTCCACCTAAACTTCTCTCTGTCCCCCATATCTATTGCCACGATCCCTCTTCTTTGGTACCTCTCATGTTTCTCTACCACTTTGCCATTCTCTCTCTTGCATGTTTTCTCTCTGTGATCTTATTGTTTCGCCCTCCCTCACCCCCTCCATTGCATCGTAACTCTGACCGTTACTCTAGCCACCTCACCCTTTTCATATCATTTTTCCTTTCTTCCCCATGTTCTCTCAGTGAGCACATTTTCTCCTTACTCCATCACTAGCTTTAGCTAACGGCTTTGTTTTCTTCATTTCTTTTTTTTTCTCTAGACCACTCCTTCTTTCAGCTCTCCACAAATTATAAACTTTTCTCTCCGTGGTTACCAACAATGTCTGATTTCAAAGTACCTTTTCAGTAATAGCATTCCATAACTGGTTCTTCTTGTTAGGGTGTATAAATTAAAGTGAGCATTAGCGCGCGTGAGTAATCGTCAATATCAGTCTTTGCTTACGCGCGTTTTTGATCTAATCATGATTTGGTCAAAAGCGCACGTAAGCGCGGAAGTATGTTCCGTAAGAAAATGAACTCGGTCAGAAACCAACAAGCGCAGTATTAAAGCAACAGTCCCAGCAGGGTGGGCGTGGTCGGAAACGACTGCAATCCCCTCGGCCGATTCCGACCACGCCCACTTCAGCTCCCTCCCTAGCGGCTTTCCAAGGTGAGTTTTTGTTCAGTCACACTTCTTACGTTCTTGACTAGGGGCTGAACAGCTCCGAAGTGGGAATCGGCCGAGGGGATTGCAGCCGTTTCCGACCACGCCCACCCTGCTGGGACTGTTGCTTTAAGCTGTTATACACGTCAACCAGTACTTTTAACGATTTTCAGGTGCTCTTCATTGTTGTGTCATTCACAATGGCATTGTTCTTTGATTCGATGTTCAATCTATATGTGCCACCGAATGCTGTTCACGGGGTACGCGAAGACAATGCTGATTCACTCGAGTCATCCCGTGCAACCTAGCAAAGTAGTGGTGAACACCTAAGCTTGCCTGTCGAATTGATCTGAGGCGTTTTCACATCACGTCATACCACATGCTAGTTCCTCTAACTCTAATGTATTTATTGCTAATTTCATATTCCATTATCATTATGATGACCATGACCAATTCCGTTGATGACCTTGAATTTTCTCCAGAAGAAAACCGTGTACGAAAAAAAAGAAAACTATTACGGAACTCTTCAAAAAAGAGCTCATGTAAATTGTTGGGCTACACGATGATCATACGGCTTCAAGTCGACTGTTTAATTTTTTTTCACATTTTCTTTGCCCTCAGTCACTATCGAGTTCATACATATTGATTGATGAGCAGTAGCCGACTTCTCCTATATATACTACGTAATGTGCTAGTGATGGTTTGTCGCTGTCGTGTCGTACGTTCTTATTGAAGAGCGCATTTGAAAACATCCCCAATATTTCATCGTCTGTGTGTACATATGCGTTTCGAATTGTAATTCATGTAGAGCCTATCGCCTCGAGTGTTTCCTCGCGCCTTTCCCTCCTACCGAGTGACTTTTTCTGTATTACTGTATTGTACTACTACTATTGCGCGACTTCTACTGTCACTAATCGTATTCGTCCTCATTCCTTCGTTCATGTCATTCGCATTGTTTTGTCGCCCTCTTCTTCTTTTCCATCCCATCCCTCTTCTCTCTTATCGCATTCAACTGTCTATCATGCTCTCACAGTCGTGGTGTTGTCGTCCTTCTCGTCGTCAATCCCTTTTTCACCCCCTCCTTCATACAATCCCCAATTGCAGCGTGTCGTATACTCTCTCGTTCACATTCACCAAGTGTGTGTTCGGGTTTGTAAACATGAGAATTCTGTGGTCGATCATAACATATTACCAGATTGTGATGTTCTATCCAACTATTGCCTTTTTTCTTTTAAACACCATTTTGTTTTTATATGTACTACAGCGTATCATTTCGGGAGGATTATAGCGTTTCCCTTATTTATTGTGCTATTTATGTTATTCGGGTTCATCGTATATGTCACTTTGCGAGAATTGCTCTTAGAAGGTGCGAAGCGGCCGCGCTGCGTAATGCAAAAACAAGACCGATTGCCATTGAAGCGTGTGCAAAACATGGAAATGACACTAGGTGAAGTGCAGCGGGAAGAACAGGCCACGTGCAAAGTGTCTCGCCCTTTTTGGACGAGCCATTAACATAGCATGCCTTCCTAGCGGGTCACGGTTACTTGTCATAGCCTGTAGTGCTCGACCGTAACTCATCCGTTATGATCGTAGTACTGTTCGCCCTACTAGGCCCAGTTCCAATCTTAATATTTATCCCTCTTTCACATGAGACTGTGGAAACATTTTCCCTTTTCATCAAAATTACAGTTCGAGCACATGTAAAATATCGATTTTCGCGCGTGCGACATCTGGGTCAACAAGATAATCCAGGCTGCTAGCGCATTGAAGTATTTGTGATCTATGAAAGCCGCCAAGTGACATAGCCATTGATTCCCATTTTCGCCTAACTATTGATTCATTTCCTGTGATCGGATTCGTTCATTCGCTCCTAAAAACTCCTAGTTAGAGATTCAGTTTACAATCAGCGAGTCCTGTGAGCGTGACTGAACGACTCCGACTCACATATCTGCTTCCTATAAATTTCGCAGTACGTACAGCGTACAAACGATCGTGATGTTTCTGTGATTCTGTCTAGTTTTAAAGAAAAGTGTATGAGAAAATGCAAAGCATAATATGGATTGATGGATTACGATGTATGAGTATTTAGCAGTGTTGTGGTGTTGTGAATGACGGATCAGTGCATGTGCGCGTGGAATGCATTCCACAATTGCTTCTGCACACAGATGAATATTGATTGATCGCGCAAGCGCTGTGCCAATCATTCATGGTGAAGACAGCAAACACACACACATACAAATATACACATGCACATACTCTAGAAAAGTTTATTGGTGAACGTTTGCATATGATGATGAATGACGTATTAGAACAGGCATTTTTGTACACTCCAAGCCAAATTAGCAAACTTAGAACGTTGGTTCGCGGTTTATTTGTTTCCTTGTGATAAAGTATTCTGCTTTCTTTTCCAACTGTATACATTTGAACCATACCAAAAGCTCATTCGTTTTGGATATACGGCTGAGATGAAGAGTTTTTGGAAAATGCAGTTAAATGGGTCACACTGTGCAAAAATGCGCACTCCGTAGTTGACTTGGTGAAGGATATTGCTTTCCATAATGGAGGTAGATCTGGTAGTTAGGCGATTGTTATTAGAAACAGCTAACGAGATTGCTGAGAACCTTATTATTAAATTGTTCGGAAAGTAATGCGGGTTTTGAGATGCCATGCATGCTTGGAATATTTTTATACTGAAATTTCCTTCGAGACCTGAAGCCCTATATGTCACTACATCAGTGTTCTCCAGTATATTTGAATTTCAGTTTGACTTGTTGCCTTGGGGTATTTTTTATAGAATTCAACTCAGGGTGTCAAAAAGTGGTTTGTGTAAGTTTCCTTTGATGCGTCGAAACTCTGACGTAGTGCTCCATAGACCTGTCGAAATAATACTGAAGAATAGGGCCAAGGAAGCACCAATAAAAGCGCAGCACAGCCTTGGCTTCAAAACTTTAGTCTGGAATCCATTGTGATGGTGAGGGGGAGTCATGAGCATGATGCTGTTAATGACAGCCTTCTGAAGATTCCCGGTGCGAAGATGCTTTCCACGACGTAAACTGTGCAAGAGTAGCAATCCCGAGAGGTAGGATATTAGCGAAATATTTGATGCATCCTAGAAGAAATTCTGGGGCACTGGTGAGGAAACTGACATGTACTGACGCATGAGCTTAGTTAGCAGCAGCAATACCGTCTTCTGAAGGAGTTGTTTTCGGCCGTTTCACGTAAACAAAAGCCACTAGTTGCATTGTCATCTACGACGAAGAATGAACACATTACGACTAGAGGAAGCCATCTCTGTAGTAAAACCGCAACGCATCTTTAAAAATTTCTCTTAAACCGAAATCATAGAATTAAAGTCGAGCTGTACATTTCGCGCCCTTCCTGACTATGCAACCCAGCTCTCACAAGGGAGATCTTTCAGAGCAAGCCACGCTTTTTCAAAACGGTTTCTTGCATATTGTAGGGATGCATGTAGGGAACACAAAACCATGTTTCATTTTCGCTGAACCGGTTTTAGCAGTACCAAAAAAGAAGCATAAGGTACTGTTAATGGTTCGATCCCCGTGGCGACTAAATTTTGCTAAATTACTATTATACTAAATTACTTTAAATCGAGGGTATCATTCACCACTTTTTTGATACTACTAAAACCTTTCAGCGAAAACGAAACAAGGTGTTGTGGTCCATACATGCGTCACCTACATTATGTGCAGAAGAAACCATTTCCAAAAAGCGCGGCTTGCCTGGAAAGACCTTGTAAAAAGCGGGTGGCTTCAACGGCATACGATGTCTCTCAAGAATAGATGAGATGCTCTAGAAACATCAGGTTCGTCAACCGAGAAAGTAAACAAAGCCTCCTTCATGGTGGCGCTCAGCCACACGTCCCATAAACGACCTCGCAAGTATTGAACAAACTGGCGTACGAAGCTTCGATCCACACGTCTTACTCACTGGACCTCTCCCTCACCAATACCCCCTTTTCCAACCATCTCGACAACTTCTTGAGTAAGAAATGCTTCAATGTTCAAACTGATGTGAAAATGATGCTCGACGATATCATCGCCTCCAGAAGCGCTGATTTTGATGTGGGAAGGACATTTGAGTACGCATCTTGTTAAGAAAATTAGTGCTTTCCAATAGTTTTTGTACGACTAGAAATTACCAATTTCAGTGAAAAGAAGTCATTTGACAGATAGACGCGAAAAACTCGCATTACTTTCCGAACAACCTAAAAGTTACATTCTCCGCTGCATGGTGATGGAAACAAGATTCAAGGTTGTGCCTACCCGTTGTGATCCCTCTACCGCATTCCTTCTTTTTCCATTTTCAAGTGCATGACAGTGCGTTCAAACTCCATTTGCTAGGTTTTGAAATGAATGTGGCTTAAGTACATGCTGTTGGCCCGCTGGCGCCAAACTCGCGACATTTGGGCTACTATCGTCGACTAGCTAAGCGGTTTGAAGAAATATTGAGGTTGATGCATAATTATTGCGGCTTTTTCCAACAGATTTTATTCAGCGAAAACGACAAAATTATTCAACAAAAACATGTTTAAATAATAACCCCGGAGCGTGGTCACCATCCCACAAGAATGCTTCCCATTTGCTTTTCTCGGTGATTCCACGGATAAAAAAGTCACGATTCTCGGAGACGATCCACGCTCTAACACTGGCCACCAACGCATCCAGCTCATCCTAAAATTTGTTCGTTTGCCAGTTTTTCAACGTCTGATTGAATTGCTAGTCTGTAGGAGCTCCGCTCGGTAGATGTGGCGTTTTAAACTTCTTGAACGATCCTTCGTCTTGGGTTTTGCTAATTGCTCCCTCGCTGAGAAGTTTGATGAGATCGCGGAATGGCCCCGCCGCCTTCTAACATTTATAGAAGTAGTAAGCATGTGTGGTGAAGATGAGGACAATTTCCGATAAGCATTTCTGTTAATGGAAGAAAGAAGAATATTTTCATGAAAAAACAAC